TGTGTGTGTGTGTGTGTGTGTGTGTGTGTGTGTGAGAGAGAGAGAGAGAGAGAGAGAGAGAGAGAGAGAGAGAGAGAGAGAGAGAGAGAGGTTACTTGCATCGATAGGATCAGCAAAATCGAATGAATCTACCCCTACGACATGGAAATATATACTCTTTTTTTTTCTTCTTTTTTTGTGCGTGTGCGCGAAAACTTTGCAACTGCCGGGGTATTTTCGGACGTTGGGCAGCGTCCGGTACGAGTACATTGCAAAGATGGAACTGATGGCAGCGTCCGCTAGGGGTGTTTCGCAAAATGTTTTGTCATCGTCCTTCCCCGCAGCGTAGCTGCACCAGGTCCAATGTAATAGAAAATGCAAAGTTCACCACGTTTGTGTGTTTCAGGGCCAAGTGGCCACACACCTGTCCACAGCCAAAGCGGCACACTTGCACATATGTATACATATATATTTCAAACCATAAGGGGATGGAGGGCAGAAGGCAGCTAACCTAAGAAGGAAGACTACTTGTGGCATTCTCTGTTCCACACGGGCCCTTCGCAGGGCCAGTCCATACGAGTAGGGGTTAGCAGATTGGATTAGGCCAGATTAGTACTACGCCCTGGCGCGTTGGTTCGTTTAGCGCCAGGCGCCAGGCCCCTGGTTAGAGGCCCAGTTAGCCTAGCAGCAGGGGAACGGGCCCTGGGTGCCGTTTCAAGCCCTGGGCGCCATTCCCAGAGGGCACAGGCCCTGGGCGCCATTCCCAGAGGGAACAGGACCTGGGCGCCAGTTTAGGTGCCAGGCCGATTGGCGTTTGGGCGCCAACGCCGTTAGGAACTGGTGAGAGCCGCCTCCCAGTCAGACCGGCGCTACATAGCTGGTCCGCCTAGGCATTCAGCAGGCATTCGTAGAGGTACTCAGTAGCGGTAGCTGTAGTTGACGATAGGATAGTGGTAGTCTTCCAGCGCTGGGTGCTGAGTTAGGACTTCAGCCACGAGCTAGCGCTGCAGCCTACTGCAGCGGAGGTTGGAGGGAGACTGGCTCTGGTGGAGCCCAGGGAGACTCACCTGATGACTTACCTGTGACGCCGTCGCTCCAGCTTCATTTTCAGTTGGTCCATACTGCATCAAGGCGACACCTTTTCGCAGGTTAGTGCCTGGTATACACACACACACACACACACACACACACACACAGAGAGAGAGAGAGAGAGAGAGAGAGAGAGAGAGAGATGTTCTTCTTCCTCCTCCTCCAGTCCATCGCTCTTCCCCTCCCCCTCCAGCGCTCTGGCCCCTTTCTCCTTCATCAGACTATGAGAAAATAGATAGATAGATAGATAGATAGATAGATAGATAGATAGAGAGA